GGAATCCCGCGCGCCCGACTCACCGTTGGGCCGGATGTTGATGAAGGGGTAGTTGGGCATCACCAGCTTGTTGAAGTTGAACTTGTAGGTGAACCTCTTGCCCTTTGTCTTGTGGAGGATCCTCTTGTTGTAGTAATATCTGGGAAGGGATTGGGAAGAGATGGATCCGAGGCCGCTCGAGGTCCCGTTTCTTGGGAGCGGCGCCGCCGGCGCCGCCTCCGAGGTCTCGGAGAAAACTGGAGCTGCCCCGAACCTTTGGGATCTTTTTGGGGATCTTTGGGATGCAGAGTCAGGAGCTGGGGCTCCGTGACCCCCGGTGGGACCCTCCCTACCCGGGATATTCCACGATTTCTGTTGTCAGCACCGGGAAACCTCAGTCCGCCGGGAATTTTCCCAACGACCCCCTTTTCCAGCCCCTTCCTCAGCAGGAGGTTCCAAACCCCTTTTTCCCAGGTTATGACGTCCCCTGGAACACGTGGAATTCCCTTCCAACCCGGGATATTCCGTTTCAGAGGTTGTTACGTCCCTTGGAAGGGGCGGGAGAGGGCGAGATCCCGACGGGAAAAGCTGGAACGACATCCCATGTTCTCCTCGGCCCAGTCCAAACTGGGACCAGTGCCACGGGCTGGGAGCTCTCCTGGGCATTCCCGGGCACTCCCTCCCCATTCCCACCCCTGGGAATGCTGAGAAATGCCATGGAAATGTCTCCAGGAGGAGAAAAATCCCGGTGGATATTCCCTGAGAGAGGGGAATGTGTCCCTGGGACAACACCTGGAGCGACCAGAGCCGGGAAAACCAGGGCCCAAATCCCCTGGATTGGCCTGGGATTGGTTTTCATTCCCGGGATTTTCCCGGCCCAGGGATTGGGAGAGCTGGTTCCTGCTGCTTCGTGCCTTGGAGCGAGTCCCTTCCCCTTCTGATCCCCCCTTTTCTGGGATTAAAATCAATCCCTCCCCTGCCCAGGGCTTGGATCCTCCTTTCCCGGGATACTGGGGGTTGGAAGGGATCCCTGGAGATCCTCCAAGGCAGGTGAGATACTTCCATGGATGGATGGATGGGATCCACCCTCAGATCAGGGGTTTCCAGGGGATATTGGAGAGATTTTTCTTGGGATACCGAAATATTGGAGAGATTTGTAGGGATATCTGAGACATTTCCACGGATATCGGAGATATTCCCATGGATTGATCAGATTCCCTCTCAGGTGAGAGGTTTTTAGGGATATTGGAGATATTTCCAGGGATATTTGACACGTTTGTCTGGATTGATGGGATATATCCATGGACTGAGAGAATCTCCTCTCAGCTGAGAGGTTTTCATGGATATTTGAGGTATTTCTAGGGATATCTGAGGTATTTGTCTGGATTGATGGGATATATCCATGGACTGATGAGATTCCCTCTCGTCTGAGAGGTTTTTATGGATATTGGAGATATTTGGATGAGTCTCTCCTCACCAGAGATGCTCCAGCCCCCAAATCACCTCCAGGGATCATCCCTTCCCCATCCAACACTCCAATCCACGTCTCCCCAGGCCGGGATAGGGGGATCTTTTGTGGGAACAGCATCCAGGGGACACGGATCCCAAGGCAGGGGCGTTTTCCACCCGTTTTCCCTCCCCGTTCCCGGAGGAAACTCCCGTGTTTGCCTTTGGCAGCTCCACCCAGGAGGTATCAGAGGGTGTGGGGCAGCCAAGTCCACGCCAGGGACTGATAATTCCGTGACTTCCCGGGGACTGGGACGCTCCTGGAGCGTGGAAACACCTCCGAGGGCCGGGCCGGGCGGGTTCTCCGAGCTCTGATTCCCGAAGGCGCGGAGAAAACCGGGATAAAACCCCCGTGGAAGGGGCTGGAAGGGGAGAGGGCTGGAGGGTTTGGAGTTGGGAAGGGCAAAGGGGGGAATGCTCAGCCCTGGTCGTGGAATTATGGGATGGTCTGGGTTGGAAGGGACCTCAAAGGTCATCAAGGCCACGACCACACTCCAGGTTGCTCCAAGCCCCGTCCAGCCCGGCCTTTGGACACTTCCAGGGATGGGGAATCCATGGAATAATCTGTGCCACCACCTTCCCAGGGAAGGATTTCCCCCCAATATCCCACCTAAACCAGCACAGGGAATATCCTGGAATGGTTTGGGTTGGAAGGGACCCTCCCAGGGAAGGATTTACCCCCAATATCCCACCTAAACCAGCCCAGGGAATATCCTGGAATGCTCTGGGTTGGAAGGGACCCTCCCAGGGAAGGATTTACCCCCAATATTCCATCTAAACCAGCACAGGGAATATCCTGGAATGCTCTGGGTTGGAAGGGACCCTCTCAGGGAAGGATTTACCCCCAATATTCCATCTAAACCAGCACAGGGAATATCCTGGAATGCTTTGGAAGGGACCTTTTTGGACACTTCCAGGGACAATGGGAGAAATCAAATGGAATAAACCTGTGACCAGAGCACTCACCCACCTCCCAGGGAAGACGTATACAAAAAGCCCAATATCCCACCTAAACCAGCCCAGGGATCCTGGGATGCTCTGGGTTGGAAGGGACCTTTTTGGACACTTCCAGGGATGGGGAATCCATGGAATAACCTGTGCCAGGGCCTCACCACCCTCCCAGGGAAGGATTTACCCCCAATATCCCACCTAAACCAGCCCAGGGAATCTTGGAATGCTTTGGAAGGGACCCTCCCACCAGGCCAGGCTGCTCCGAACCCCGTCCAACCTCATCCTCGGCCACTTCCAAGGCCGGGCCCAGACGACCCGACCTAAATTCCCCCCCCGGAAAAAGCTGGGAATGCTCCTTTCCAGCCCTCCCCCCTCCTCACCTGAGGGCCCTGCTGAGCTTGTCGTAGTTCATCTGGGGTTTGCATTTCCTCCTCCCCCACAGCCGGGCCACCTCGTCGGGGTCCTTGATGACGAACTCGCCGTACTCTCCCTGCTGCCAGGCGATGACATGGCGGAATTCCTCCTTCTGGAGCAGCTCCAGGATGAAGTGCCACAGCTGGATCTGCCTGGAGCCAGGGCTGGACTCGGTTTTATAAGCCCACTCCGGGAAATGATACCCTTTGGGGGGAGAGAGAGGGGGAAAAGTGTCGCTCAAAGAGGCGCGAAAACGCGTCCGGGGTTCGCTCCGGGGGCTGGAATTCCATCGGCTATTCCAGGGTTTTGAGAGGGATTTCCACGGATTGAGGGGATCCCCCTCTCTCAGATGAGAAATTTGTTGGGGTATCTGAGAGATTTTTATGGATGTTTGAGGGGTTTCTATGGATTGGTGAGAGATTTGTATGGATCGATGAGATGTTGCCATGGATCGATGGACAAGGAATTTGTTGGGATATCCGAGAGATTTCTATGGATGTTTGAGGGGTTTCTATGGATTGATGAGGTGTTTCCATGGATCGATGAGATGTTGCCATGGATCGATGGACAAGGAATTTGTTGGGATATCCGAGAGATTTCTATGGATGTTTGAGGGGTTTCTACGGATTGATGTTTCCATGGATTGATGAGATCCCCTTTTGGACAAGGAATTTGTTGGGATATTTAAGAGTTGTAGGGATATCTGAACTATTTCCAAGGATTGATGAGATGTTTCCATGGATTGATGAGATCCCCTTTTTGGACAAGAAATTTTGAGGGATATTTGAGAGATTTCCATGGATAGCTGAACTATTTCCATGGATTGATGAGATCCCTCTCAGATGAGAAATTTGTAGGGATATTCCAAAGATTTCCATGGATTGATGAGAGATTTCCATGGATTGATGAGATGTTTCCATGGATTGATGAGATCCCCTTTTGGACAAGGAATCTGTCGGGATATCTGAGAGATTTCCACGGATATTGGAGATATTTCCATGGATTGATGAGATCTCTCTCAGGTGAGAGATTTGTAGGGATATTTGAGAGATTTCCATGGATAGCTGAACTATTTCCATGGATTGATGAGATCCCCTTTGGGACAAGAAATCTGTAGGGATATTTGAGAGATTTCTATGGATTGATGAGATGTTTCCATGGATTGATGAGATGTTTCCATGGATTGATGTGATCCCCCCTCTCAGATAAGAAATTTGTGGGGATATTTGAGAGATTTCTATGGATATTTGAGAGATTTCTATGGATATTTGAGAGATTTCTATGGATTGATGAGATGTTTCCATGGATTGATGAGATTCCCTTTTGGACAAGGAATTTTTAGGGATATTTGAGAGATTCCTACGGATATCTGAGCTATTTCCATGGATTGATGAGATCCCTCTCAGATGAGAAATTTGTACAGGTATCTGAGAGATTTCTATGGATTGATGAGATTCCCCCCCCCCCTCAGATGAAAGATTTCCACGGATATTTAAGATATTTCCATGGAATGATGAGATTCCCTCCCGGATGACAGATTTGCAGGGATACTGGAGAGAGATTTCAGGTTTAATCCCATGTTTAATCCCAGGAGGAGAGACCCAGCTCTCCACCTCCAGCTTTCAGACCCCTCTTCCTGGAGAATCCCTAAAAAAAACCACCCAAAAAATGGGAAAACTGAGGGGGGTGGAAGCGCCAGGAACCCAAAACCTGCTGGAATGAACCAAATTTGCCTGGAATCATGGAATGGTTCGAGTTCCACAGTCCAGGTGGCTCCAAGCCCCATCCAACCCGTCTTTCAGCACTTCCAAGGATTGGAAATAAGGCCAAAAAAAATCCCGATTTGAGGATTTAAGTTCGTGTGGATTCCAGGGCGGCTCCAGATCCCGACTCCGCCGTGCCAACGGATATTCCTGAGGGACTGCCAAGCTCCAGATCCCTCGGGATATTTCCCAGCACAACTCCCAGCACGAGGCTGCTTGGGGGGTTTTTTTTGGGTGTTTTTTTTGTGGCCACAATTCCAAACCCCATCCAGGAGAACCCACATCCCACCCCAAGACTCCAAACAGACCCGAGCAGGATCCAGCCCTCAGAAATTCCCAAACCCTTCCAGGTAATCCATCTCCAGGGGGGGGGTTTATTGGCATTTTCACATCCCAGCCCTCAGAAATTCCCAAACCCTTCCAGGTAATCCATCTCCAGGGGGGGTTATTGGCATTTTCACATCCCAGCCCTCAGAAATTCCCAAATCTTTCCAGGTAATCCATCTCAGGGGGTTATGGCATTTCACATCCCGCCCGCAGAAATTCCCAAACCCTTCCAGGTAATCCATCTCCAGGGGGGGGTTTATTGGCATTTTCACATCCCAGCCCTCAGAAATTCCCAAATCTTCCCAGGTAATCCATCTCCAGGGGGGGTTTATTGGCATTTTCACATCCCAGCCCTCAGAAATTCCCAAATCCTTCCAGGTTATCCTTCTCCAGGGGGGGGTTTATTGGCATTTTCACATCCCAGCCCTCAGAAATTCCCAAATCTTCCCAGGTAATCCATCTCCAGGGGGGGTTTATTGGCATTTTCACATCCCAGCCCTCACAACCCACCGAGGAAATCTCAACCCTCGCTCGCCTCAGCCCTGGAGAGGCAAAATTAACCCTCCTCGAGCTCCTTTATCCCGGGAAAAGGGCTGGGAATGGCTGAAAACTCGAGCCTCTCGACTTCCTTACCTCCTCCTCCTTCAGGTTTATCCACAATGCTGCAGCCTGCTTTCATTTTCTCCCTCCTGCCAACTGTGGAACACAAGGAAAGCGGCGTCAGCCGCAGGGATTTCTCCGGAGAGAGGATCCTGCCCATCCCCAGGGATGGTCCCCTTTTCCCATCTAATCCCAGTCCTGCCTGGGATCCCCGGGAAGGAGCTCGGCGGGGCCGTCAGACAGACAAAACAAGCCCAACACAGTTTGTCTCCTGTTACTAGACGGGCTCTGCTGCCAAAATACACAACTCCCAGCTCGCCCAGATGTCCCAGGGAGGGGAAAAAGGGGAGGGGAGAAAAATCCCGGCTCCTGATCCCCTGCTGGAAATTCCTGCTGCCGTGAGGTGAGGGATCCCTGAGGGATCCCGGAATCCAGAGCTGGGTCCTCCCCCCAAAAAAAGGGGATACGAGGAGTGACAGCTCTGTGGGAGCCCCCTGGGAGGGAGAGGAGCCTCCCAGAAGGGGCTGGAATACCCTGGGAAGGGGCTGGAATACCCTGGGAGGGGCTGGAGCCCCTCAGGAGGGTCTGATCCCCCCCAGTACCAGCACCCAGACAACCCCCCCTTGGGTCCCACCGTCCTCAGAGGAGCCCCCCCAGGGCCTTCAGGAGGGTCCAGTACCCAAATGACCCCCCAGGTAAAAACTGGAGCCCCCCTGGGAGGGACTGGAGCCCCTCAGGAGGGTCTGATCCCCCCCCAGTACCAGCACCCCCCTTGGGAGGGACTGGTCTCACCGTCCCCAAAGGAGCCCCCCCGGGGCCTTCAGGAGGGTCCGTCCCCCTCCAGCACCCAAATGACCCCCCCCAGGGATGAACTGGAACCCCCTTGGAAGGGACCGGAGCCCCTCAGGAGGGTCTGATCCCCCCCAGTACCAGCACCCAGACAACCCCTCCTTGAGTCCCACCGTCCCCAAAGGAGCCCCCCCGGGCCTTCAGGAGGGTCCATTCCCCTCCAGCACACAAACGACCCCCCAGGTACGAACTGGACCCCCCCTGGGAGGGACCAGAGCTCCCCCAGAGGGTCCCTTTCCCTCTGCCCAGCACCCCCGTGACCCCCCCGGGGCCGACCCGGAGCCCCCCGGGGAGGGTCCCATCCCCCTGTCCCAGCACCCACATCACCCCCCCCGGCACAAACCGGAGCCCCCCGAGCCCGGCAGCCACAAAAGCCCCCCCAGGGGTGACCAGAGCCCCCCCCGGGGAGGGTCCATTCCCTCCCACCACCCACCCACCACCCAAACGACCCTCCCCGAGATGAACCGGCGGCCCCCCCCGGAACGCACCGAAGCCCCCCGGGGAGGGAGCGGAGCCCCTGGAGAGGGGCCGATCCCCCCCCCCCGCCTCCCCCGGAGCCCCCCCGGGGCTGTTCCACCCCCCCCCTCCCCGTGTTTCCCAGCCCCGGGAGAGGTTCAAAGCACGTAAATGGCCGCCGGGAGGGGCCGCGGCGCCGCGGCGGCGGCGGGGCCGGGGCTGCTCCGTTACAGCCCCGCCGGCCTGTCCCGGCCTGTCCCGGCACGGCCCCGCCCGGCCCCGCCCGGGCCCCGGGGCAGGGGGGGGGGGAGCCGCCCCGACCGGGAAACCCACCGGGGATCGGCAACAAGGACCACCCGGGACCCCCCCCGGGAACCATCGGGACCCCCCCTCGGGAACGGGGAGCACCGGGAACCCCCCCCCCGAGAATGGGGAGCACCGGGACCAACGGGGATCCACCCGGGAACCGGGGACCTTCCACAGCCCCCCCCGCGGGACCCCCCCCCGGCCCCGGGGACGGGGGACCCTGCGCGGCCTCCCCCGCTCCGGGACCACCGGGCAGGTCGTTGCCGCAGCCCCGAGAGCCCCTCCGGTAACCGGGGGATGGGGGGGGGTGTCCCTGTTTACTCTCAAGTCAAAATAACCGGGGGCCGTCCCTGTTTAATGTTCCCCCGGTAACCGAGGGGGGCCTCATTTACCCTCCCGGTAACCGGGGAGGGGGGGGAACTGTCCCTGTTTACCCCTTCCCCGGTAACGGGGGGGGCTCATTTATTCCTCGCTAGTAACGTGGGGGGGGGGGTCCCCGTTTTCCCCTCTGCCGGTAACTCCGCGTTATTTATTCCTCCCCGGTAACGGGGGAGGCGGATGCCGGGATGGGTCGGGGGGGGGGGAAACGAGCCCCCCCCCCCCCCCCCCGTACCGCCCCGTTCCCGCGCCCCCGCCTTTCACCGCCCCCCCCCGCTTCCCGGGGGGGGGCTTCTCGTTCACCCCCCAACCCTTAACCCGCCAATCCCCTCCCCCCCGGTCCTCCCCGTTGCCCCCCCCCCTTCCCCCCCGTAATTCCCGGTTTTTATTCTTCGCCCCCCGGTTTGCCCCCCCCCCCCCCGCGCCCCATCGCCAAAAACGCCTACATAACCGCCCCCCCCCCGCCACTTCCACCCACATCACCCCCCCGTTACCCCCCGTTAACCCCCCCGGGCGCCCCCCCCACCAACCCCCCGGGCCGTACCTGCGGGGGCGGCGCGGGCGGATCACGGGGGAGGGGGGCGGGTTGCGGGGCAGGCGGGGGGGGCGGGCGGGGATGTTGCCGGTGCGGGGTGGGCCGCGCTCGGAGCCGCTCCCGGTGCCGTTCCCGGGTTCCCGGAGCCTTCCCCCCGGAGCCGCCGCCGCCGCCGCCGCCGCCGCCGGAACCGGAACCGCCGCCGCCACCGCCCACGCGCTTCCGGTCCGCGCGGCCCCCGCGCCACTTCCGCTTCCGGTGGGGAACTGACCCCCCCCCCCCCCCCCCCAACCAAAAAAATAAACAATGATAATACCGTCCAAAAATAAAAACACCACGGGAAGGATCATCCCGCCCCTCTACACCCCCCCCCCCCAAAAAAAAAAAATAATCCAGGCTCGGAGTGGTTGGTTCCGACCCCCCACCCCAAAAAAAAAAAAACTGCCCCCAAAAAATATCCCCCCCCACCAGAAAACATCCCCCCAAAAGACACACTCCCCCAAAAACACACTCGCCCCCAAATAACACCCCAGAAAACGTCACGCCCCCCAAAAATATTCCCACCCGGAGCGGCGGATTTCGGGCCCGCCCCTCCCTGAAAAAACAAAAACGAGCCCCACCAAAAATCTCTCTCCCCCCCCCCCTTAAAATATCCTCCCACCGGCAAAAAATATCTCTGTGCTGGGATCCTGGGATTTGGGGATCCAGCTGTGCTGGGGGTGCTGGTATAGGGGGATCCTGGTCCACGGGATCCTGATATAGGGGGATCCAGGAATGTGGGGGTCTGGTTGTGCAGGGATTCTGATTTATGGGGATCCTGGTTTAGGGGGATCCAGGTACACAGGGGGTCCAGCTGTGCAGGGGTCCTGGTGTGAGGGGATCAAAATGTGCAGGGATCTAGTTGTGGAGGATCCAGCTGTGCAGGAATCCAGCTATGTGGGAATCCTGGTCTATGGGGATCCAGCTGTGTGAGTATCCTGGTCTACAGGGATCCAGCTGTGCAGGGATCCTGCTATATGGAGATCCAGCTGTGTAGATATCCTGATCTCTGGGGATCCAGCTGTGCAGAGATCCTGATCTCTGGGGATCCAGCTGTGTGAGTATCCTGGTCTGTGGGGATCCAGCTGTGCAGGGATCCAGCTGTGCAGGGATCCAGCTGTGTGAGTATCCTGGTCTAAGGGGATCCAGGGATCCTGGTCTATGGGGATCCAGCTGTGTGAGTATCCTGGTCTGTGGGGATCCAGCTGTGCAGGGATCCAGCTGTGCAGGGATCCAGCCCTTTGGGGCTGGGGCTATGGGGGGGACCTGGCTGTGCTGGGTCTGGGGGCTGGGGATGGACCCCCATCCCTGATGTTCTTCTGCACAGCCTTGGGGGTGCTGCCCCCCCAAACCCCCCCGAGTGTCCCCACCATCCCGGTGCCAGCCCAGCCCTCGGTGTCACCCCATGTCCCCTCCACACACGTGTCCACCCCCCCCCCACCCCATAAATCCACCCCCACCTCGCCTTCCTCCGCCTTTATTGGAGTCATGGGGCATCCAAAACACGGGGGGGGGGATGTGGGAGCCCCCCCAGGCCAGCCCTGCTCCCAGAGCACGGGTGGGGACAGGAGGTGACACCTCAGGGGGACTCGGGTGTCCATCAGCCCCGGTGTCACACGGGGGGGTCGGTGGTCCCATCCTGCTCCGGGGGTCCTGCTGGGGGGAAAAGGAGGGTGAGGACGGGATCATCTCCCTCTGGGGGTGGAGGGACAAGGACGGAGCCTCTCGGGGGCTGGGACACACCCGGGACACACCCAGGACTCACCTGGGACTCACCTGGGACTCTCCAGGTCACACCTTCACCTGCACCTCGCAGTAGATGGTCCTGGGCCCGTCCTGCTGCTCGGGGGCAGAAAACAGGTCAGACCCGTGGGAAGGGGGGTGGGCGAGGTGGGACAACTCCCCCCAGGGACTTGGTGGCCCTGGGAAGTGTCCCCTTCGGTGTCCCCTCCCCGGGGAAGCCCCCCAGGAGTTCGGAGCCACTTCCAGGGGAGGAGGAAAGGGGGGCTCTGGGGGCACAGAGGGACCCCCCAGTGCTGGAGGGAAGGGGTGGAAGGTGGGGTTGGACTCAGAATGAACCGGATTTGCCCCCGGATCCCCCCCCCTCAGGCTCACCCAGTCCCGAGGCTCCGGGGAGTTTCTCCTCTGGATCTCAGAGTACAAGAGCTCCGGTGGGGGATCCTCGCTGGAGAGGGGGGAGAGGGCACCTACAGAGAGGAGAAGAAGAGCAAGAGGAGCGATCCCAGGGATGCTGGAGGGAGCTGGGACATGTAGAAGGGGGGCATGGAGCCATCCTGGCCCAGGCAGGGCAGGCAGAATCCCAGAATCCCAATTTAGGTTGGAAAAGACCTCTGAGGTCATCAAATCCACCCTGTGCCGTGTCCCCACCTCGCCCCCAGCCCAGAGCACTGAGTGTCCGGCCCTTCCTTGGACACCTCCAAGGCCTGACCACCCTTCCCAGGAACAAATCCCTCCTCGTGTCCCACCTGAACCTCTCCTGGCGCAGCCCGAGGCCGTTTCCTCTTGTCCCTGTTCCCTTCCAGTGCCTGACAACCCTTTCCACAAAGAAAAGGAGTGAGGGGAGAAGCTCTCTCCCCCTTTCCCAGCTCTGTTGATCCCAGCTCTGAGCTCAAAGCCCAGCGGTGCCCACCTCCCTCAGGCTTCTTCCTCCTCCTCCTCCTCCTCCTCCAGATCCAGGCAATGCCAAGCAGGGCCAAAATGCCCACGGCCCCCAGCACCAGGCACACGTGTCTCCTCTGACAGGCCCCCGTGTCTGCAGGGACGAGCCGTGGTGGGTGCCAGGGGGGGTGAATTCACCTCCTGGGGGGGCGAATCCGGGCACAGGAGGGGTTTTTTACCCTGCTGCTGGCACAGGGTGTCCAGGTGGAGGGAGACATTCCGCTCCTGGGCGGGATTCCGGGCCAGGCAGGTGTAGGTGGAGTTGAAGGCAGCGACGGGCAGGGCCAGGCACAGGGTCTGGTTGTCCCCGCAGAGCTGTGCCTGTGGCACCCCCAGAGAGCCGCCGAGCTGCCAGGTGACTGTGGCATTGCTGCCCGGGGGCGCCTGGCACCGCAGGGTGAGGTTGCACTCCCGGGGGGTGAGGGAGAGCCGCTGCCCCTGGATCTGCGGCTCCGGCACCGGCTCTGTCGGAGGCGCAAACAAACCTGTCCCACGGCCCGGGGAGGGGGAGGTGGAAGGGCAGAGCGAGGGAAAGGGGAAGCGCCGGGGTCGCGGCTGGTCCCGGAGCCGGGACAATCCCCGTGACGGGCGCGCGGCACCCGGAGCGGTTTCCCTTCCCCTTTCCCAGCGCTCACACCTCCGGCTGCCGGGGGTTGTAAAGCCGCTTCCAGGAACCGCTGCTCTGCAAACAAACCCACCGTAGACGGAGAGGGTGAAGAGTTGTGTCTCCACGGTCGCTGGCTCCAGTTTAATCCGAGCCTCGTAGACGCCGCTGTCGCCCCTCTCCAGGGTCCCGATCCTCAGCTCCGTCTTGTTCATCTCCACCCGGCCCCTGAATCGATCCTGGGGGTCGGGGCGCTTGAATTTACCGCTGTCGAACTCGGCCACTGTGATCTTGACACTGCCGACACCTAAAAATGTCCACTCGATCGCCTTCACCTTCTTGTCGGGGGGCAGATCCAGGGAGAGCAGCGCGGACCCCCCCAGGACACCGTTCACCTGCCGGGTCCGAGGGGTCGCAGCACCTGGTGGGGACAGGGATAATCTGGAGACCTGGAACAGGGATAATCTGGAGGCTGGAGACCCCCAGCCCCCCCCCCCCCCGGTCCCTTCCCTCGGCCCCCTCCCTCCCGAGGGACCCCGTGGGCAGCTGCCCACCGGGGCCTGAGTCACGAGAGCGCGGCGCCCGCCTGGGATGATTCATCGCATCCCACACCCATCCCCTCTCCTGGCGGCGTTCCCGGCACGCAGGGACCACCCGCGGGGCTGGGAACACCCCGGGGGCTCGCGGGGCCTCGTCCCGGTGTCACCCCGTGTCCCCCCACGTCCCCCCACACACGCACGGGTCACCCCCACAGCAGGGACGCCACGGTCCCCGTCGTCTCTAAGCCCCGATTAAGGCTCAAACCGGGCAGGTTTAAAGTTAAACCTCCGGGAAATGTCCCCAGGGGTCAGGGACCAACCGTGGGGTTGGATGTCCCCGGGGTCGGGGGTTGCTGGGGGCCCGCGGTGCCTTGTCCCGGTGTCCCCCCGTGTCGCCCCCCGTGTCACCCTACACGTGCACAGGTCGCCCCCCAAAAAATGGGCGAGACAGGGAGTGTTCTCCCAACTGTGTCTAAGCCCAAGTGGGGCTCAAACCGGGCAAGTTTAAAGTTAAACCTCCGGGAAATGTCCCCATGGGTCAGGGACCAGCCGGGGACCACCCTCAGGGCTGGGACCCCCCCGGGGTCGGGGGGATGCTGGGGGCTCACGATGCCTCGTCCCCGTGTCACCCTACACGTGCACAGGTCACCCCCTGACAGAGGAAACCGCCCCCACCGTGTGGGGCTGAAACCGGGGCGGGTTTCGGGTTTAAACCTTCCGAAAACTCCCCCCGTGGTGGGGACGGGGACCCTCCACCCCAGCGCTCTGGGGCAGCTCAGCTACGCCGCCTCCCCCCCCTCCCCATCCCTGGGGGGCACCGAGTGGCTCCACTCGGGCTCCGAGACCCCGAAAGCCGCCAGGAGCCCCCCGCAGCCTCCCCCGGGGGCAGCGACAGACGGTTCCCACAGCGCAGCCCCGTCCTGCCCGCGGGCGGCTCGCTCGGCGCCGGCCCCGCTCTCGCTCTCCCCGCAGCCACTCGGCTTTGCAGAGACGGAGGCGAGACGAGGGGGAAAAAAAAGGGGGGGGCTGAGAAACCGCAGCCCCCGCTGCTGCAGCCTCGGGGGGTTCGTTGCCCACCTCCCCCTCCCTCTCCCCGGCTCACGGGATGCGCTGCCCGGGGTGTGCGGGAGGAGGGGGGGGCTCGCTCGGGGACCCCCACGCAGGGGGTGAGAGGGGCCGGGGAGCGCCCGGCGGGGTGAGGGGGGTTAAACACCCGCCCCCTGCCCGCTCCCTGCGCCCGGAGCGTTTCCCGGGTACCCCCGAGGGCTGCGGGATGCGATTCCTTCCCCCCCTCCCCCGAGGAAGCAGGTACGTGACGGGGATGCCGCAGTCAGGGCAACCTTCGGCCTCCCTCTTCCTCCTCGAGGAAACACCCCGGGAAACCCGGAGAGGTCCCTCCTTGCCGAAATTAATTTCCCTTTTCTTTTTTCCAGCGGGTTGGCCAAGCTGAGGGGTCCCAACAGCCCCCCCCCGGGGGTGACCCAGCCCCGGGCACTGGGGTCCGGCCCCACCAGGCCCCACAAAACCTCTCGGGGATGGATTTTTGGCGGCAGGAAATCAAGGAGGGGAGGCTGAGCAACCACCCCACCCCCCCTCCCCCCGCCCGAGGGACCACCGGTGCCCCGGGGCATCATTCCTGCTCCTTCCCAGAGGGAAAGGCTGTTCCCCCCCCCGGACACCTCATGGATTTCCCCCCGACGTTCATTTTGCAGCCGGGACCCAAAAAGTCGCACTCTCAGTTCTCTCCCACCGCTCCCAAAAACCGGGGGGGGGGGTTGCTAAAAACGGGGGGCACGAGCGCTGGAACGCCGGGATCCCCTCCCAGCCCGGCTGTTCTCCCACCCTCCCAGACCCACCTGCCACTCCCAGGAGCAGGACCAGCAGCCGGGGGACGCGGGGCCGGGCGGGGCCGGGCGACGTCCCCATCGCTCCAAAGCCGCCCAGCTCAGCTCTGAGCGCTCGGAAAAAGGGAACGCGAATCGAAAACCACCTTGCAGGGGAGTGGCGAAGGGCAGGACACACCGCTGGGGACAACGCCGAGCCCCAAAGCCCGGCGGGGGTCGGGGCGATCTGTCCTTCCCTGCCTCCCTCCTCCCGCTGCCCCCGGGAGGGTTTGGAGCTGCTTCCCAAGGCGCTGCTGCCGCCCAGCCTTTGTTTTCCACCTGGAATCAGGTGCAATAAGAGCAGGGACGAGCCGGATGCTGCGGGCGCTGGGCAAATAACACCAGCTGGTGCCACAAGTGCAGCACAAGTGGAGTCCTTGTTGCCGTGGCGGGCACGGGCTGAGGGGCACGAGGGGTTGGCCTGGCTGGAAATCGAGGGGAGGGGGTCCCTGTGGGCTTGGGAATGTCCCGGCTGGGGCTCCTGCACCTGGGATGCTCCTGAACCCCACGCTTGGGGTGTCCCATCAGCCACTCCCAGGATGCTCCTGTCCCCTGCATCCCGAGTGTCCCCCGGATCCGGGGTGTCCTGTCCCCCGTATCCAGTATCCAGAGTGTCCTGTCCCCCATATCCAGAGTGTCCTGTCCCCCATATCCAGGGTGTCCTGTCCCCCATATCCGGGGTGTCCTGTCTCCCATATCCAGGGTGTCCTGTCCCCCATATCCGGGGTGTCCTGTCCCCTGCACTGGGGTGTCCTGTCCCCCATACCCGGGATATCCTGTCCCCCATACTCAGGGTGTCCTGCCCCCCATATCCGGGGTGTCCTGCCCCCCATATCTGGGGTATCCTGTCTCCCATATCTGGGGTATCCTGTCCCCCATATCCAGGGTGTCCTGTCCCCCATATCTGGGGTATCCTGTCCCCCATATCCGGGGTGTCCTGCCCCCCATATCCCGGGTGCACACACACACACACACACACACACACACACGTGTCCCTGTGCCCACCCCTGCCCATCCCTGCCCTCCCCTGCCCGCCCCTCCAGCTCCCCCCGTGACCTCACCAACATTTATTTGCTGTTTTTACACCGGGGGGGGTCTGGGCGGGGGGTCCCCGTGGCAGTGGGTGCTGGACACACAGGCGGTGAGACCCCCCCTCCGTGCGCGGGCTACGCGGGAACAGCGAGGGGAGGGACGGGAGGGGAGGGGAGGGGGCGCTTCCCGTGGCTCTGCACCGGCGACGGACGGTCCCTTCCGCATCCCCCCGGGGGTGCCCCCCAGGGCCGCTCCAGTGGGGTCGGGAGGGCACCGCCGCATGTCCCCCCCCCCCGCTCCGCGTCCCCTTGGCAGCGGCCGAGCGGGTGGGCACGACCCCCCCCCCCCCCAACGTGGGCATCTCCCCGCGGAGGGTCCCTGCGAGACCCCGGGAGGGGGGAGCTGGAGGTTGGGGGTCCACGTGCCCCCCGGGGCGGCTCGTCGTGGTCCCTCCCGGCGATGTCCCCCCACCCCCCCCGCCCCGGCCAAGTCCCGGGGGGCGAATCCCGGGGTTTTCCCCCATCCTGGAGCATCCCAGAGCACACGGAAGGGGGGGAGGACCACGGAGAGACCCCCCAGCTCCGCCGCCGCCGCCTCGGTCCGGGATCGCGCTCCCCAAACAGCCTCGGAGGGCACCGGGGAAGGAGGTTGGGGATGAACCGGAGGAGGGGGTGGGTGGGGGGGTGAGGGGTTGGGGAAGGGGGTCCGTCCGGCTGAAGTCCCGCGGTGGAGCCTCCCGATCCCGGAGCCGAAACGGGGGGGCTGGATTTGGGTTGGGATTTGGCACACGACGCACTTTTACAGCCCTTCCAGGAGATCCCGGCGCTCCGGCCCTGCGGGTGCCTGCGGGACAGAGCAGAGCCTTTCTCAGCCCCCTCCCACGAACGGGAGACCCCCCCGGCGCTGGCGGTGCCCGTTTTTGGGGGCAGCTCCCCTTCCCCCCCCCGCCCCGCACCTGAGGGTCTATGTCACCTCCTCGGCCGTGTCCCCTGGCGCTGCCTGGCCCTGCTGCTGCTCCTCGCCGGGGGCGGCCGCCGGTGCTTTCTGCGGCGAGCTCTGCTCCTGGTTATTCTCGGGGTGACTCGGGCCCTGCGGCAGAAATTTGGGGGAGGGAGGGGAAGGGGGATGCTGCTGAGGGACCTGCTGGCCCCGGGAAGCCCCCGTGGGATGCTGTGCCCTGGCGCAGAGCCCACCTTGCACCCACCTTGCCGGGACCCCGGGGTGACCCGGACACGGCTGCGACCCCAGTGACCCCACCGGGCCCCCCCTCATTGTGGCTGTGACCCCAGTTTGATGTGGACCCGCCCCCCCCCAGCACGGTGGGGACCCCCCTCCCCCGGCCCCCAAGCCCCTCCGGGGGCCTCACCTGGTCATTACCTTCCGGGGGGCTCCGGCACACGATGTCGGTGTACTGGGGCTCCGAGGGGCTTTCCTCGGCGGCCACCGTGGGGGTGGCGGCTGCGGGGAGCCGGAGTGTTCCAGGGAAACAGCCCCTCCCCATTCCCCCAGCCTCTCCCCGTTTCTCCAGCCCCTCCCCACTCCCCCAGCCCCCTCTCTGCTCCCCCAGCCCCTTCTCTGCTCCCCCAGCCCCTTCCCCCAGCCCCTCCCCACTCCCCCAGCTCCCCCCCCCCAGGCCCTCCCCGTTTCCCCAGCCCCCTCCCCGCTCCCCCAGCCCCTCCCCACTCCCTCAGCCCCCTCCCCGCTCCCCCAGCCCCTCCCCGCTCCCCCAGCCCCCTCCCTGCTCCCCCAACCCCTTCCCTACTCCTTCAGCCCCTTCCCCATTTCCTCGAGCCCCCTCCCTGCTTCCCAAGCCCCTTCCCTCCGCCCCACGCAGCCCCTCCCCGCTCCCCCAGCCCCTTCCCTCCTCCCCCAGCCCCTTCCCTGCTCCCCCAGCCCCTTCCCTCCTCCCTCAGCCCCTTCCCTACTCCTTCAGCCCCTTCCCCGTTTCCCCGAGCCCCCTTCCCCGCTCCCCCAGCCCCTCCGAGACCCCTCGGGGAGAAGGGGGGTGATGGGCGGGGTGTGGGGGGGTCTCCCCTTGCCTGGATCCGACGCCTTCTCGCTGTTCATCCTCCAGCACCAGAAGGCCCCCCCCAGGCTCACGGCCAGCAGGATGAGGGTCAGCACGATGTACCCCGACGTCGAGAAGGACGTTTGGCCCCCTGGCAGGGCACGGGGGGACACGTTTGTCCCCTGAGCTGTGCCCACCCCCGGGACGAGCTCCCCCCGGGCGCCGCCAGCCCCCCGCGGGTGCCCCGGGGCGAGGGTCTCACCCCCGGGGAGGGGTCTCACCCCCGGGGAGGGGTCTCACCTCCGCCCTGGCAGATGGTTTGCAGGTCGAACAGGGCGACTTTTTGGTCGGCGGGGTTGCTGACGGTGCAGGCGTAGGTGACGTTGGCGGCCGTGGGGGGCAGGTTGACCCTCAGGGTGGTCCCGTCCGGGGACAGCTGGTGGCGGTCGGGGATCAGGTCCCCGGTGAGGCTGTCGCGCTTCCAGGTGACGTTCACGGCGCCTTTCCCGGAGCCCTGGCACTGCAGGGTCAGGTTGCACCATTCCAAGGTGCTGGCCAGGAGCTGGCTGCGGGTCCGGGGGCTCGGCACCGACTCTGTGCCCAAGGAAGGGCTGGATCAGCACCGGACGGAGGGATTCGGCCACCCCGGTGTCCCCCTTGGGTGACAGGGTTTGACCACCCTGCTGTCCTCACTGTCCCCTTCAGATGACAGGGTTTGACCACCCTGCTGTCCTCACTGTCCCCCTTGAGGAACAGGATTTGGCCACCCTGCTGTCCCCTTTGGGTGCCAGGATTTGGCCCTTTGCAGAGTGTGAGGGGCTGCAGGGCCTGGGGTGCAAAGGTGGGTGTCCAAACCAACCCTAAGGAAACCCCACAGTGGCTCCGTGCCTCAGTTTCCCCCACCTATAAAGGGGTCGGTGCTTGCGCTCAGGGCTTTATATCCCTCCTCAAATCCCACCCTTGTCCTGTGCCTCAGTTTTCCAACCTGCCAAGGGGTCACTTCTCACCCTCGGGGCTCTCTGTTCCCCCTCCAACCCCACCCTTGTTCCGTGCCTCAGTTTCCCCACCCGTAAAGGGATTTAGCGCCTGCACTTGGGGCTCCCTATTTATCCCCCAAATCCCATCAGCGCCTCAGTTTCCCCACCCGTAAAGGGATTATTTCTCACCCTCGGGGCTCTCTGTTCACCCTCAAAGCCCCCCCCGTGCCTCAGTTTCCCCACAGCTAAAGGGGTCGGTGCTCACACTATTCACCCTCCGCCCCCATCGCTGCTCTGTGCTCAGCTTCCCCCACCTGCAAAGGGGTTTAGAGCTCACACTCGGGGCTTTCTTCCCTCAGCGTCTCCATCACCCACCGTAGACGGAGAGGTTGAAGGTTTGATCCTCCACCAGCGCCGGGTGCAGTTTAATCCTCGCCCCGTAGACGCCGCTGTCGCCCCTCTCCAGGGCCCGGATCCTCAGCGCCGTCTCGTTGTACCTCTCCAGCCGCTTCCCGAAGCGATCCCTGGGATCGGGGCGCTCGAACCCGCCGCGGCTGAACTCCGCCACCTGGATCATGGCCCCGGTGCCGGCGGAGAAGCTCCACTCGATCTCCTTCACCGTCTTGTTGGGGGGCAGAGCCGGGGAGAGCAGCACCGACCCCCCCAGGACGCCGTTGACCTGCTGGGGCTGCGCTCGGGCTTGGCCGAAGAGCAGCTCTGGGACAAGGAGAAAGTCACCGAGAGGTGTTTGGGGACAGCGCGGGGACAGGGCGGGGACAAGGCAGGAACAGGAGGACATTCGGGGACGGGGCCGAGCAGCATCTCCCGCCTCGGCGCGGCCGCCTGGTCTCTCCGCTGCTCCCTATCCGAGCCGGGGACGGGGTGTGTCCCCAGAAAGAGAGGGAAAGACGCCGGGCCGGGGGGGCTGGAAGCCAAAACTATGAAAGATCTACAAGGTTCGGATGCGGGTGCCCCGTCGGGATGCCGGTCTCGGGGACTGGAGGCCCAAAAGCGTGACGGGTCTACGAGGTTCGGACGCGGGTGCCCCATCGGGATGCCAAGCTCGGGGGAGCGGAAGCTAAAAAATACGAAGGAATCTGCCAGGTTCGGATGTGGGGGGGGCACCATCTGAACCCCGAGGCTCTCACCAGAACAACGCTCCAAGAGAGTCTGGGAGGAATTCCCAGCCAACACCTCCAAAACCTCATTGTCCGCCTTAAACGGCGCCTCCGCCCAGAGCCCTGCGGAAGATCGACAAGGGTTAAGGGGGTGGGGGGGGCAGCAGGGGCGGCTCCGGGGGGTCCCTGTGGGCTGGGGGTGCCGGGCCAGCAGGGGTGGAGCCCCCGGGAGCCTGTGGGATGGGTGATTCCCGCAGGGATGGAGCCTTTTCCCTCCTGCCTTATCCCAGCGCGAGGGGCAGGTTCTGAGCCTCCACCACGGGGGTTTGAGTATTTTTTTGCAGCATCTCCGCAAAAATCCTGACGCCAGGTGCCGATTGGCATCAGCTCCCTCACTTCTGGCAGCTCCAAGGAGGGCTGGAGCCCCTGCTGACCTGTGGGATCAAGGTGATTCCCGCAGGGATGGAGCCTTTTCCCTCCTGCCTTATCCCAGCCCAAGGAGCAGGCTCTGAGCCTCCACTATGGTTTTTTTTTTGCAGAATGTCTGCAAAACTCCTGATGCCAAGAGCTGCTTGACAGTTCCAGGCAGGGCTGGAGCCCCTGCCGACCTGTGGGATGAGTGATTCCCGCAGGGATGGAGCCTTTTCCCTCCTGCCTTGTCCCAACCCAAGGAGCAGGCTCTGAGCCTCCACCATGGGGTTGTTGGGGTTTTTTTTGCAGCATCTCCGCCAAAATCCTGATGCCAGGTGCTGATTGGCATCAGCTCCCTCACTTCTGGCAGCTCCAAGGAGGGCTGGAGCCCCTGCTGACCTGTGGGACCAAGGTGATTCCCGCAGGGATGGAGCCTTTTCCCTCCTGCCTTATCCCAGCCCGAGGAGCAGGCTCTGAGCCTCCACCACGGGTGGTTTGGTTTTATTTGGCAGCATCCTGAGCTCCCTGATCCAAGAATCCCGATGCCAAGAGCCGCTCAGCGTCACCTCCCTCACTCCTGGCACCTCCAGGGAGGAACGAAGTCCCTTCCAACCTGTGGGATCAGGGCAATTCCCACGGGGATGGAGCTTCTCCCTCATCCCGGCAGCTCCTCCAGCCCGAGGGGCACGTTCTGAGCCTCCACCACGGGGGTGGTTTGTGGCTTTTTTGCAGCATCTCTGCTAAAAAATCCTGATGCCAAGAGCTGCTCAGGCAGAGCTGGAGCCCCTGCCGACCCGTGGGATGCGTGATTCCCTCAGGGATGGAGCTTCTCCCTGATCCCAGCGGGCTGGGCCCGAGGGGCAGGTTCCGAGCCTCCATCACGGGTGGTTTTGGGTTTGTTCTTTTTTTTTTTTGCAGCATCCCGAGCTCCCTGCAAAAATCCCAATGCCAGGAGCCGCTCGGCACCACCTCCCTCGCTCCTGGCAGCTCCCGCCTACTTCCAAGCTGTCTCCTGTGCTGGCCCCGGCCCCCGCATCCCCCCACGCCCCTCTGCCACGCAGAACACCCCCCTCCCTTCCCTCTCTCCCTCTCCCTCTCCCCGTCCCACGCAGCCGCCCAGGAACGGGGGAGGCGGGTTGGGATGAGCGGCATCGGCTCCATCCTGCCTGGGACGGGTCGTGAATTCCCGGGATCGTCTCCCTGCTCCCCTCCCCGGAGGAGGCAGAAGCAGCTGAGCCCGTACATTAAAAAGCAGATTAAACACAGACAGCGCGGCTTTTACTCCATGTAAACCCCCCCCCCCGGCAGCCCCCCAGGACGAGCCGCATCTTTGCTCCGCTCTCTAAGACGCTTCCCCGCGGCGCTGGAGCTTTTTCGTTGCTCCGATCCCGCTTATCCCAAGCTCGATTCCTGCTCTTCCAACCCCATCTTAAACCCGAATGAATTCCCGAACACTTTTAAGCGGGAGAACGCAAAGTTTTTGGGGGGCCCGCGAAGCCGCAGGAGCCCGGGGGGAGGACGCTGAGCCCGAGCAGCAAAATAGAACTGGGAGGGGGGAGAAGCCTCCAAAATCCCGTCAGTCTCCTCACGGAGGAGCTCAGAGAGATTCTCTCCCCCCAATTTCCTCGCTGCCAAGGATGGAGCCGCTCCTGTGTCCGTCCATCCGCCGGCCGGACTCACCCGGGGCACCCTCCTCATCCTCCTCCTCCTCCCGGGAGGTTTCCCACCCTCCCGTGCAACATCTCCGCCCCGGGAGGGGGGTCCCCGCCGGCCGCCCCCGCGCTGTCGGAGGGGCGGCCGGAGGAAATGACGGCCGGGAAAAGCCTGGTTGGTGCCAGGCCTCCGCCAAGCGCCTCCCCGGCATCCTCCCGGCTCATCCTGTTTACCCCAGATTTTTTGGAACACGAGGCTCCGCAGCCCCGGCTCCGCTGCAGGATCCGGAGGGAGGGGGGGGAGAGGAGGGAGGAGGATAAATGTGTTGATGCTCGATGCGTTCGGCATCTGGATTAGCCCGACTCGAGCTTTCCTCAGACTCCCCAAAAAAACAGATCTCCGGGGCCGATTTTAACCTCGGGTTTACTCACCCCGAGCCTGGATTGCGCTTTTCCTCGCCCTCCCCGCTCCCCGCGTTCTGCCATAAAATAATTCCCATCCCAGAAAGCAGCTGGAGAACTCCAAAGCGTGGAAAACAGGCTTTTCCCACCGAGCCGGGGCAGATATTTGGCA